AGTCTCTTCAGCTGCAGTGTGACCATCTCTAAATGTGTTATCCACGGGCCTTTCAGCCTTGTGGGTTTATCACCCTGCCTTCAACCGCTCTTTAAGCTCTGAAGCACAGAGCTCAAGTTTGTGCAGTTGGGAGCACATCCTGCACGTGTAGTCATTTAGGACACCAGTAGGGTCATTGACTCCCATAAATGACAGGAACACATTCCACTCGACTGTCCTTTCCTGCCATGATTTAAACTTGCTGTGCCAATTTTCCTGCCATTTCTTTATTCCCCAGTATAATTTCCCCCATTTCTGCCTGTAAGGGACCAATATTCATCTTTGCTAATATTTTCCTCCACATATTTATAGAAATTTTTAGAGTCAATTTTTATTGCCCCTGCAAGTTTACTGTTGTACTCTATTATCCTCCTCTTGATCTATTTTTCTGTCCTCATTTGCTGAATTCTAAACTGCTGCCAGTCGTTATGCTTGCTACCTTCTCTGGCAATTTTGTATGTCTCTGATTCTAATCTTAGCCCTGACTTATTTTGTAAACCAAGGTTGAGGCATCTTTCCTGTTTCATTCCTATCTGATGCAAGAATGCACTGTTGTAAATCATGTATACATTGCTTAAATATTAGCCATTGCCCATCAACTACCAACCTTATAGTAAGGTTCTCCAATCTATCATTGCCAAGTCATTCTTCGTACCCTCATAGTTCCCTTTTAATTTAGATTCAGGATCCTAGTTTCGGATTCACTTTCACTCTGTATCTTAATGAACAATACTACAGTTTTATGGTTGCTGTTCTCCAGTGGATCTTACACATCAAAATTGCTAAGTAATCCTTTCTCGTTCCACAATGCTTTATTTGGGATAGCCTGCTGTACAATTGGTTCCTCAAAATATTGGTCTTAAAAAATCACATTTACACACTCCAGGAAATCTTTCTGCACAGTATTATTGCTAGTTCAGTTTGGTCAATGTGTATTTACATAGTCACCCATGATTACAGTTGTACCATTACGCATGCATCTCTGATTTCCTGTTTAGAGCCATCCCTTGCATCTCCATACTCTTTGGAGGGGGTCGTCTATAGGCCCCCAGTGTTTTCTGTCCCTTGGTGTTTCTAATTTCTGTCCGTACAGATTCCACATCAAGTTTCCAAGCCAATATTCTTCCTCGTTATTGGTCACTCTGTAGCCACATCTCCACATTTGCACTGTTTCGTAAACTGTGTATATCTGTTTATACTGTTGGTTTGTCTACCTTTATTGTGAATGCTTCTTGCATTAGGACACATGAGCCATTAGAAAGAAAATAATTAAATTGAAATTAGGGGACAAATGCTGACTTGTCCAAACTATTAATGTGCAATCCATAAGGATTTCTGTGCTGAGTTTATTATTTGACTGAAATGAAAAGTTTTATTTTAACAGTATTTAGTGAATTGATAGGAGTTGCATAGATCAATTATATTGAAATCCAAAGTGTCACAGGCGAAAATTAATACAAGTCTGAAAAGTGCCACATGTATGGGGAATAGAGATCATTTGAGAAAAGTTTGTGTACTTTGGGTATAATTATGGTGATAGAAAGTCTATTACAGTGAGATTTTTAATAAAATCACTGCAAAATGTTAAATATTTTGGTTTTTAAAAAAGGCATTATTACATGCTATAGGCTTTAGTCTATCATAAAGATCTTTAAAATTATGAAGTATTGTTGGAATCTTTTTATCATTTGCTTTCAATTAATCCAATTTTAAACACCCCTTTATTTAACTACAAGTTGCTGTTCTTTAAATGGATCTGACAAGAGCGTTGCAGTTTGAATTCAGCTTCTAAAGTGGTGGCCATGGCAATAGTGGCAAGGGATCAGATCAGGAAAAAACAACTAATGTAAACACAGATTCATCAGGCTAAAATAATTATTCAAGCCCTCTTTAGAAATTGACAGGTGGGCTAAAGGAAGTTTGGAATCAACAGAGACTACATTTATAGTTTAGAAAAGTAGGGATCTTTGGCACTTGCTGTGTTATTTTAGTTTCACTGTAGGTATGTGACAGGTGTTGCTTTAAATTTATTGGTATGGATGGATCTGATTACCACTTATTAAGTAGCAGTAATGAATTTAAAAATACAATTTAGAGTGTGACCTCTGATTTAAAGTTAGCTTCTTTGTTCTTCAATAATAATTTGAAGCTTGACCTTAAACGGATGCCTGGGAGATGATGCAGAGAAGTTTAATTAGTAATCTTGAAGAAAGAGATGCCCGTGTTTTCCCATTGCCATGCATTGTGTTCAGCATCTTTTTTTTTGTAACTTTATTTGAAGAATTTCTGTTGTTTCAAAGTGTGATCTTGTTTTTTCTTAGTATCGCAGTTTTGTGACTTTGTAAATCTATAGAAGTTTTTCTATTTCTCTCATCATTGAGAAAAAATAATTCCTAATAGAATCATCAGCTCAATAAACATGTGGGCAATGCCACTTCCTGCCTTCTGTTGAGCTCAGCTATCTGCTTGGTATGAGACTCTCACTGGGGTTTAAAAAAAAATGAACTGAGCAAAATTGGTAAAATTTCTTCAGGTGTCATCTGTGTTATAGTCTTATACCTTATCCCAGAGTCTTGGTTTTGTGTGCAATTTCTTGTAACCGTCAGTGAAATTAACAAGAAATCTTCCAAGAACAATTGGGGTGTGAAACAAGCCAGTCCTTACAGACTTTTCCTGACTTCAGTGCAAAAACAAATTGTTTAATGGATGACTATTTTGCCATCAACTATTTTGTGCTCTTCTTAAAGTTGGTACTTCTGCTCAATATTACAAGGTCTCAAAGCAAATGTTGAAGTAATGTTTCAGTCTAAATCATATAATTCAATTGCAGGGATACCCATACTGGAAGGGAGTGGGTAACGAGAGTAGTTTATTGAGAGCAAAAGAAAACCATTACTTTAGTATGTTACTTAAAATATTCCTGTCACCAATATGTTTCAAGGATGTAAGGCCTTGGGTTTACAACAGTGTTATTAAACTTTGTTATATTATCTAATATTATATTGTCTGCACTCCATAACATTCCATATTCATTCACTTCACAATATTTTCATTTTAGAAAATTAAGCTGATTTTGACTGATTTGGCTGACAATATTAAATAGTAATCTTTAAGGTAGCCATTATCCCATTAGGCTGCCTTCATGATTTTATCTTAAAGCCATGTATGTTGTTGCAAATAGAAATGGTTAAGGCTACGAAATAATGTAAAAATTTCCAGCTGATTCTTTGTCTTTGTGCTTTGAATTAATTTTTATTGTGTTTATAATGAAATTGTCAGCCTAAATTATTAATGGAACTTGATTTATATGATTTCAGAATGGCCATTCTTTGAACAAGTGACACTTATAATATGTAATCATTTCTGTTGTGAAATTAACAAACCAGTCCAGATGCACAATATACAAAATCATGATGTATTTGGTTATATAAATAAGACAGCAATAAAATAAGTGCTTCCTACAGAATGAAGAAGTGTAGGTTGTTGTTGGATGTCAACTTCCCAAGGCATGGAATCAAGTTGAGGGACTATATAGTAAGGTAAATTGAAGAATGAGACATTATTATCTTTCTGATGTTAGATCCTAAAATGAATCCTGGTTTAATAGACTTTTTTTGTTTGGCTTTAATGAGGTGGTTTTTCACTGCAACACAAACACACGTAATGCTGCAGATTCAGGTTTTACAATGAAACCAGTCTACTGTGCAAAAGAAATGCAAATAAAATAGAGTAAACCAAACTAGTTTCATGTAACACAAGTTTAAATGTCTTGAAACACATGCAAAATACAATCCCATTAATTCCAAAAACTCTCCTTTATAGTAACAGAGAGAACTTAATCTTTTTCACATCAAATAACTCCTCAGGTTTTTAACCAAACACTTCTGGTGTGGATCTTATTAAACTAGACTCCTTAAACAGAGGTAATCTCTTAACAGTCCTGAAATTACATTTTAATTTTCAAGAGCAACTGTTTACACATCTAGCAACAGCCAAACCTTCCATAAACTACCCCAATCTGAAATTAGAAAGCTCTTTTTTTCCCCCAAAGCTATGTGTGCTGTCCCCTAAGCCCTAAAGAAAATTCTGGAATCTTCTATCTGAAAGCCTACTGCATTCCACTGTTCACTCATAAATTCTTCCAGTGTAAACAAATTCCCATTAGCATCTTTGAACTATCTTTCTTAGCTTTCAAAAAGGAAATCACCATTGGTACAGAAATATGTTAATCAGAACAGAAAATATATGTCACAAGTTCAAAATTTAAAGTCTAAACTAAATGCTATTTAAAATATATATAAATCACAATATCCTGATTCATCTTTGAATTTCCTGGTGAATTGGTAAGGGAGGATTGGAAGAGTTCGAGGAGATGATTGTTTGTCTGGTGCAAGTGGGAGGCAAGATCAAAAATAAACTTAATTCAAGTTTAATTGGCTAAACTTGATTTCTTTTTGGAACTTGCACACACAATAATGGCATAGACCCATGTTAAAGAGCAGTTAAGTTTCTAAGCTACAATGCAGATGCAGTAATGAAATGTATTCAGGCCGTTTTTAATTTAAAGTTTCAAAATGTTCTGGAAAAAGATCTGGTCCATTGCCTTCCTTCCAGCATCCTGATTGAATCGTAAGCTTACTGAAGTGATATCGAATATCCTACCAGTATCCAATCTGTTCCCTATTGTATTCCATCATTTATTTTTCAGTAAATCATTCAGTGTTTAAACATCGTGATTAAAACTTTAAGGCAATTGAATATTTTATGCTTTCTTCCCTGGAAGGACATAGTAACAGAAATCAGGTGAAATTGTTTAGGAAAATGAAAGATTATTTCATGAAAGATGCAAACAACAATTTAGATGAGAGAGCAACAGTGCTGAGGTATGGTGACAGATAATGCATCTTTTGATTTTAGTCACTCAAGTAACTTCAGTGATAAATGTTTTTAACGTTTCACAGAATAACAGAGCCACAGAAAACTTCTTTAAAGAAGGGTCCAGCACTAACTGGTCACTATCCTGGTAAAAGTGAGGGCAAAGAACTCAAAGTACTCGTTCAACCTGAAACACAACACCGGGCACGGTACTTGACAGAGGGTAGCCGTGGTTCTGTGAAAGATCGGACACAGCAAGGTTTTCCAACAGTAAAGGTAATATATCCTCTGTTTTTGAAAATAAATGACCATTAGTTAAACATAACCTTTTGTCATAAATTGTAAACAAGGAGTCGTATTTTTAGAATTTGAGCTAGACCATTTGAAAACAAATCCAGAAAAAAATTAAATATATAAAATGCACTGGGAGAAAGCATCAACAGTTTTTGAGTGCTTAGAAGGGAAATAAATATAGTCATGTAAGGTTATTTAAATTATGACATGATTGCTGACTGGATCAGCTCACCACCAATTAGTTATGAATGCATGTGTGCAGTATTAAACTGATTTCTAAAAAAATTAAAAGAATTCTAATGTAAACACTTTTCTTACCTGATATACTCTTTTTTTTCATTATTAACTATTTGTTAGGTACTTGCCACTCATTGTTTAAATGCATTTATGAAATATCCCAGCTAGTGCATATGCTCCTGGGTATCAGGAAGTGCAACTTCAAGTTAATGGAGAAACAAAGGGAATTCAAATTGCTATGACTTGTGCTGCCTCCCATACTTTCCACAAGAATTCAGGTTTATAGGTAACATAAAAATGGGAGGTTCAATATATTTTGTGCACAGGAGAAAGAAGATGCATTCAGAAATTCTATTGCAAATGGAGTTGCAATGAAGAAATTTTGTTATTCATTTTGAGAGAAAGACAAATCAAAGTTTTCTTAATACTCAGACTAAGAGCTCTGTAGGAGTACAAGGATTTGTGTTCTTGTACACAAATCAGTAAAATCTAGTGTATAGATAGCTAAAGTAATCATAATTGTTGAAGTTGATCTTTGCTCAAGCAGTGAGAAATTAAAAATGTGGAATTCTTGCTTTGGTTGCACCAAAGCCCATTTGAAATGCTGTGTTCAGATTAGGCACCAAATCTAAGGAAAGATAAAGATACAACTGATGTTCATCAGAGCTTGAAGGGTTAAATTATGAAACTGATTTAAATTCTGAGTATAAATGATTGAACGTTCATCCAATCAAGATATTTGAACTAACAAATAAATTTGATGAGGTAAATTAGAGCTGAGCCAATGAAATGAGGACGTACCTTTTTGCTTGGAGGGACTGGAAATAGGGAACACTCTCTCAAAAGGCTGTGGATGCGTGAGCCTGTTTGAAATTTTCAAGACCGAGTTTGTTTTTTGTATGGGAAAAGGTATGCAGAGATTTGGAGAATCGATGTGTAAATTCAGATGAGGTGCAGATGTGTCATGAGGTAATTAATGATGAAATGGACTTGAGGGTGGAAACATTTTCTCTTGGTCCTATATATACACACTTGTTCAATACAAATATCAACTTCTATCAGCAAAAGCATGCTCATCATAAATTGCGTTTTAACCTTATGTGCATGTTATCTAGGTATTAGAGTGCACAATTGATGAGATGTTTGTGCTTGGCATACACACTGAAAACAATATAGTTTATCCACAGTACTTCTACCCTACAAATTTGGCAAAATATAACATGCTGACAGATCATATGGTTCAGACTGTTTGGCACTTTGTAGTGCTTAGTAAGTAACAGAAGTAATAAAGCCAAGCGAACCAGTTAGCAGATTGAATACCCAAGTCGACTAACTTAATCTTCAGAAATTGATAAAAGTTCCAAAATTACAAGAGTTTTGAATTCCTAGCTTTTCTCTGCAATGCCTATCATAATATTAATGTTTATATGATGAGAAACGTTTATATAGGAGCCCTTTCGTAAATTTTGGCTAATATTAGATTCTGACCAAAGGCACAGGTACATTTGTTTTTCTTTTTGCAGTTGATCAAAATTATCCAGATGGATGCCAAAATGATCAAGTATTGACCTGACAGGAATAATGTAGTGCTAATCTTATTCACTCATTCTAGTGTGTCTTGTACCTTGTAACACTTGTTGAGCAATATTGATAGCCTGGCCGCAGAAAGTAATAATGCCTGAAATTTCTCGCTTAGATACATAAAATTTTACAATTAGCTTTTATTTTAAACTATAAATGTTCTGTTGTCAGAATAATTAGACTTTGGCTGATGACACACATGCGTCACACATGGACCATCTCCAGCAGGAGAAAGTACCACATGCTCTTAGCAGTCAATGGCACTACCATTGCTGAATTCCCCATCAACATTTTGGGTGTCATCACTGACCAGAAACTCAACTGGGCATGCCACTTAAATGCTGTTACTATAGAACAGACCAGAGGCTGGGTATACTTTTGCTACTGACCCACCTTCTTTCCCCCGCAAAGCCTCTTCACCACAACAAGGGCATGGACCAGAAGTATGATGGAACACTATCCAGTTGCTTGGATAGATGTGGCTGCAAAAACATCAATAGTACCTGAGCCAAAGCAGTCTGTTTGATTGGTATCCTGTCCACTAGCTTAAACATCCATTCCCTTCATGTGTTAGGTGCAGAATGCACTGCACCATAACCATTTTTCCAAACCTCATACCTCTGCCTCCTTCAAGGACAGGAGTGAATCTATACAATTAGAAAAAATAAGTTTTTGTTTGTTTGGTTTCCTGTTCTAAGATTTTTTTTTTAAGGATAAGATATTATTGAAACTGCTGCCACCACTCTTTGCAACGTGTTTCAATCTTATCAACTTGAAGCACAAATATTTTCCCCATATGCTATGTTGTATTCTTTTGTCAGTAATATTAAATTTGTCTCCTTTGGTTACTGACCTTTTCTGTGTCTGGAAAAAATTTCGTCTCAGTTACTTCATAAATCCTTCATGATTTTTAACATTTTGGTCACATTTCTGTTTAAGATTTTAACGTTCTTTGCTGTCAGGAGAATAACACCAGCTTTTCTGGTCTATCAAGGTGTATGTGATTAATTCATCCCTGGCAATATCCTAGTAAATCATATTGATTTGTGGGGACCAGAATTATTCTTGATATTGCAGCCTTTGTTCTCTTATGCCTCAGTTTATAAAGCCAAGGGTTATTTTGCCATCTAAACAGTTCAGTGCTCTTCATAGACTTCTGTACATACATCCCAGGTCTCCCCCTTCTTGCATCCTCTTAAAACTTGTACTATTTATTTTGAAAGCAAATACTATGAATGTTGGAAATACAAAATAATAGTGTTGGAGAACACTCTGGCAGCATCTGTGGAGAGCGAAACAGAATTGATTCTTCGATTCCAATATGACACTACTTTGAAATCATTTATTTTATATTATCCCTCCTCATTCTTCTGATCAAGATGAATCACTTCAGACTTTGCTGCATTAAATTTAGTCTGCCAAGTATCTAGCCATTTCATTTCTTTTGTGTCCTTTTACTTTGTGTTCAAGTTCCATATCATCTACAGACATTACAATTATGCATTGGGCGGAAATTCACGTCATTAATAGATCTCAAACAGACGTACATCTTGTGCTAATTGTGTAAATTAAGATTGAATAGATACATTGTTGGCTGTGTGTGTGTGTGTGTGTGTGTGTGTGTGTGAGTGAGAGAGAGAGAGAGAGAGAGAGAGAGAGAGAGAGAGAGAAAAGAGGGTTGGGCACTCACTTGTATTTGACCAGTCTAAATCTAAAACCAATGACTTCTGGTCTTCTCTTTCACCACCGGCTGTCAGAGGCTTAACACTTTGTACTTGGCTAAATGTTTATTACTTGTTAAAATTCTACTTTTGAAGCTTTGCTTGTGTTATTCAAAGGTTTTAAGTAATAAGCTCCCGATTTTTTTTTTTTTTTTTTTTTCTTTTAGTTGGAAGGTTACAACGAGCCAGTAACCTTACAAATTTTTGTTGGGAATGACTCTGGTCGAGTCAAACCTCATGGTTTTTACCAAGCTTGCAGAGTCACTGGGCGAAATACCACTCCTTGTAAGGAGGTGGATATTGAGGGAACAACTGTGATTGAGGTCAGCCTGGATCCTGGAAACAACATGACGCTAGCGTAAGTATTTATTAAGATCTGTTGCTATTAGTCATAGATCATTGATAATGGATGAAACATTTGGAAGGATTTTTTTTGTTATTCACTTGTGAGATGTGAGCATCACTGGCTGGCCAGCATTTATTGCCCATCCTTGGAGAAGGTGGTGGCGAGTTGCCTCCTTGAACCACTGCAGTCCATATTCTGTAAGTTGATCCACAATGTCGTTACGGAGGGAATTCCAGGATTTTGACCGAGCAACAGTGAAGGAACGGTGATATATTTCCAAGTCAGGATGGTGAGTGACTCGAAGGGGAATTTGCAGGGGGTGGTGTTCCCTTTGTATCTGCTGCCCTTTCCTTCTAGATAGAAGTGGTTGTGGGTTTGGAAGGTGCTTTCTAAGGATCCTTTGTGAATTTCTGCAGTGGATCTTTTAGATAATACACATTGTTACTACTGTATGGGATTTAAATTATTTTCCCCTTTTATCTCAGTTGATAAAATGTTGACTGTTGAATTGAAACTTCGCTTTTCCCAAGGATTCAAGTTTGCTATCTGATTTGTTGACAGTTAATTGTCATCTATTCTAGTAGTGCAGGCCAATAATCTCCCACAGTGATAAGAGAAAATGTTGTCCAGCATTGTGGCTGGTAACAATGTCGGATGGGTTGTAATTGTAGTTCATCTGTGTTAAGTAGCTACTGGCATTTAATATTTAGGCACATATAGAAACAATGATCACTTTGCAGGTATGTAAATGTAAACACCCATGGAACTGTGTTGCAGTATGAATTACAGCCTTCAGGCAAAGAAATAGAAATTGAGATGCTGTCCCATTATTTCTTCAGAAAACTCAGATGGTGATCCTAAAGTACATTATATTAAGGAGAGATCACTAAGTTTATTGTATTGTGTTTCAAATTCAAAAGGATAAATGAGATTTGTAGTTTTCATTTTGCAGAACTAATGAAAGTTTACGCTTTGACAATTTAATTTCAGATTTGAGATTCTCTAATTAATGTTTCATTGATATAGCAAAGATAATATAAAACCTTAAGCAACAGTGTTGAGTTTGAGGTCATATGTGGCTGGTAGATAGTCGATATATCCGTTTACTGATCAGAATATTATAACACCTCTCCATGGGAGATTGGACTTAAACCTGGATCTTCTGATCCAGAGGTAGAGACATTACCACTATGCCACAAATCTTTTCTGACAGCTGTAATGCCCACATGCCACCCACATTGTTTAATAAGTACAAAGTTTCTTCTAGAGTAATAAAAGTAGACTTTTACCAAATGGCTAACAGTATCTGTTGAGTCCTACACTCAGCGTGCTACTACCTGTATTTTTCTTCAAGTTCTCTAGCTTAAAGTCAGAATATTTTATAGTATTGTTTTTATAATAGAGAGTTGGTTCAGGAAGATCTGTATTAGACACTATTTGTGTTCTCACTGGCATCTTTAAATTGCGTTAAAGGGCACAAACAACATTTATGATCATTTCAGGAGAGAACAATCGACAAACCTCTCCATTCCATTTCAGGGAATCACTTCACAGCCCTGTGCACCACTTTTTCCAGTTTAATCACTGATTTTTTTAAGTTAAGGTCCAAGTTTTTGCATAGTGGTTAACTGCATTAAGGCACCTGGTGGCAAACATCTTTCGGTTTCACTAAGCATTTCACAAATTACTGATATTTGCAGTAATTTTTTAAAAAAACTAATTGTATCAATGCACAGTAACCAGATATATTTGTATTTTGCAGCTTGAATTGTTAGGTTGCAGCAGCAAACCAAAGTATTAATCCAGTGGAGTTTGGTGAACTAGTTTCAGTTTAGGCTTTGCCTTCCAGAATCTCAGGTTTTTGTTAATTCATTTTGTGCAGATTCTCTATTTCGTCATCCATATTTATCAACTAAAGTTTGTTCTAAATTGCAGCAATGAGATGGCTAATATTGGATGTAAAGTTTAATACTGTTTAATTTCATAATGAAGATTGCCTCATCAATCAGTTATAGAATCATAGAGCACAGAAACAGATCCTTCGGCTCAACCAGTCCATGCCAACCATAATCCTAAACTAAACTAGTCCCACCTACTGCGCTTGGCTCATATCCCTTCAAACATTTCTTACTCATGTACTTATCTAAATATCTTTAAAACATTGTAACTGTACTTGCATCCATCTCTTCCTCTGGAAGTTCATTCCACACATGAACATTACTCAGTGTGTAAAAAAAAAAAAAAAAAAAATTGCCCCATATGTCTTTATCTCCTCTGACCTTAAAAATATGCCCCCTGGTCTTGAAATCCCCCACCCTAGGGAAAAGACATGTGCCATTCATGTTATCTATAACCTTCATTATTTTCTAAACCTTCATAGATTACCTCTCAACCTCCTACACTCCAGTGAAAAAAGTCCCAGCCTATCTAGCCTCTCCTTATGACTCAAATTCCCCATTCTTGGCAAGATCCTGGTAAATAAAAGCCGAAAGAACTGCGGATGCTGTAAAGTAGGAACACAAACAGAAGTTGCTGGAAAAGCTCAGCAGATCTGGCAGCATCTGTGAAGAAAAAAATCAGAGTTAATGTTTCAGGTCCGGTGATCCTTTCTCAGAACTCCGGATCCGAAACGTTAACTCTGATTTTTTTTTTTTTCTTCACAGATGCTTCCAGATCTGCTGAGTTTTTCCAGCAAGTTCTGTTTGTACAACATCATGGTAAATCTCTCCTGAACCCTCTCCAGCTTAATAATATCCTTCCTGTAACAGAGAGACCTGGACTGGACACAGTAGCCCAGAACAAGCCTCACCAACATCCTGTACAACCTCAACATAATGTCCCAACTCCTATACTGAAAGCTCTGAGCAACGAAAGCAAGCATGCTAAACGCTTTCTTAACCATCCTATCTATATGTGATGCAAGCTTCAAAGAATTATACACCTGAACCCGTAGGTCGTTCTGTTTTCCAGAATACCTTGCATTTATCCAAATTGAACTCCATCTGCCACTCTTCAGCCCATTGACCCATTCAATCAAGATATCTTTGTAATCTTAGATAACCTTCTTCACTAGCCACTGTACCACCGATCTTGGTGTCATCCACGAACTTACTGAAGGTGATTCTCAAATGGTCGATTCAGAGTAGCATGAAATTTGAATTTGGAATTTTAATTTGACTAATCAACTTGAAATTCATATTTAATCTGAAGTTCATGCTTTTACTTCGTTTTTGAGATATGTGCAGTACTAGCAAGCCAAAATGTACTGCCCAAGGACTGTCAACCACTGTAGTGCAGAGCTGATACCATATATAAGGCAGACTGAATTCTGCATTGAGGTATACTTCTCCAAAGAATTTTAGTAAGCTATTTATATTTCTGTGGCAATCTAGCAGATTTTCCATAGTTACTTATTCATTAGATTTGAATGCATGATCTCTGAGCACTTAGCCCAGTGTTATTAAAAAAAATGGTAAAAACAACAGTGGATGCTGGTAATCTGAAACAAATACAGAAAATACTGGAGAAACTCAACAGATCTGGCAGTATCCGTAGAGAGAGGAACAGCATTAATGTTTCAAGTCCAGTATGACTCCTTCAGAACAGCTCTAAAGAAGAATCCCACTACACTCAAGCTTCGCTTGCATTTCTGTTTTTATTTTAGTATATTGGCACTACTGTTAGAAAAATAGCCTGGCTAATATTGGAACATGTGATGAATTAAGTAAGAGAAGACATATATTCTTCTGCACAATGATGTACCGTGTTATATCTTCAAGGTGCAAAGTGGCCACCTTTTTAAAACTAATTTGCAGGATGTGGGTGTGAGTGACAAGGCTAGTGTTTATTGCCCATCTCTAACTACTGCTAGGAAGGTGGTGTGAAGTCTCTTTTTTTTTGAATCACTGTTTTGTAGGTACACCCAAGAATACTGTTTGGTAGTCAGTTCCAGGATTTTGATGACCCCACAATGATGATGGAACAAGAATAGATGTCCTATTTGGCATAAAATGTGACTTAGTGGAGATCTTTTGAGGTGATGATAGTGTTCCCATGTGCCTCCTTCACTTCGTTTGCTAGGCAGTAGAGACCATAGATTTGAAAGGTGTAGCTGAAGCTTTGACGTGGTAGTGCAGTGCATCTTTTGGATGGAATGTGCTGTAGCCATTATGTGCCGATGATGGAGTGAGTATTTAAACTCGGGAACAAAAACAAAGTTGCTGGAAAAGCTCAGCTAACAGAGTTAACGTTTCGGGTCCGGTGACCCGAGGCAGGGTTAACTCTGTTTTCTCCTCCACAGATGCTGCCAGACCTGCTGAGCTTTTCCAGCAACTTTGTTTTTGTTCCTGATTTACAGCATCCGCAGTTCTTTTGGTTTTATTGAATATGTAAACTGATGGATCGGCTTCCAGTCAAGTGGCTGCTTTATTCTAGATGTTAATCTCCTTGTGTTGTTGAGTCCATCAAGACATGTGAAGAATATTCCATCACAATCTTGGCATGCTTTATAGCTGGTGAAGAGGCTGTGTGGAATCCAGAAGATGACGAATTCATTGTGGAGTCTCTGACTTGCTCTTGTAGCCACAGTGTTTATGTACCCGGTCGATGGTGACACACAGGGTGTTGATAGTGGAGATTCAGCAATGGTAATGCTGTCGAATGTCAAGGGGAGGTGGTTACACATTTTAAGAGCAGGGAGGTGATGCTGGAAATGCATAAAATATTGGTTAGGCCATAGTTACAGTATTGTGTACATATCTGGAATCCATATTATAGGCAAAATGTGATTGCGCTAGAGAGGGTGCAGAGGAGATTTAGCAGAATGTTGCCTGGGCTTGAGGGTTTTATTTATGAAGAGAGATTGGATACAATAGTAGTAGTTTTACTTTGGGGAAGAAGAGACTTGGGAGTGGGGGAGACATGATTGAGATTTATGAAACAAAAGAGCATAGACAAAGGTAGATGGGAAGAAACTTGTCCCTTTGTTGGAGGGATCAGTGATTGGGGGCATA